TTCAGAAATCGCGCGTAATGTAGAATTGATTACTTTTTGGTCGTCCATCCGGATCCACCATTAATTATTTTAATTAATTAATTAATAATGAAAAAAATTCTACAGTGACAGAATTTCAGCTGCTTTGCGGATGGGTCTTGTGCTCTCCGAGTGCTCTACGTTACTAGCTATATATGATATACTAGCTGTAGCTTAGCTTTTTCTTCCTATAATTTCTCTCACCTAACGTGAACACCAGGAACGCAGAACACACTACAGATAAAGTACTTTACAAAAATTATGATTGTGGTAATCTTGGGATATTTTTGCAATGTTTTGAGTTAATGGCAAACAAAAACGCTACGCGAGTGTTTAACATTAATGCATGTATCTTTCCTAACGCGCGCCTCGGCATTTTTATACCCCCGCATCTTTCTACTGAGCCTATAATTAAACAGCTGGACTTTCCGATATCATTTATTAATGACAATGCAGACATTTGATACTACTTCTCATGCTTCTCGAGATGTTGAATATTTCCACAGTGCCTATAGAAGAGCACGACTTGTTGCATGTGTAGTAGTAGATGCAATTTCAGCGACTCTGATCATTTGTTAACTCGTGTGCTTGCTATATCTCGTTTCACTTCAATCAGTCTCTCGGAGCTTCAACGAATCCTGACAACGCTGGGACATGCATCGTTTGCTCGAGAGGCTACGCTTCGTGGCCTGTCCGATACATCTCGCGGCTCTCGCCTGTGCTTCGAACCTATCACATCGAGCCCTCGCTGAGGAGCTGGCCACTGAGCGTCGGGAACATGCAGCAGCATCGGAGAAACTGACATATGTGCGGGGGCTGATAGATGCATACAAAACATGGGTCCGGGCCAGGTAAGGTGCTGCAAGTAGGAGATTCCAGTATGGCTGGTGCTTCATCACTTGGCTTCAGTTCTTGCGGCATCATCTGCAAGATTTTTGTTATTCTTCGTCTTCTAGCATCGTGCCCGGTATTTGATGCGAATTTTATTTGAAGGAAGATAGACCAAAGGTGCGACATTGTAAAATTTTGTTTGATATATGCGATTCTGTTGTTGTTTTCTAGAGCGAGCAGGAACTACTCGGCGCATGAATTTGAACCAGTCTTCCGGGCGGCCATGACGCTTCTGCCATGTCCAAACCCAGTAACTGGGGGGTATCCGCGGTCATGAGATCCTCTGTGCAGAAGCAGAGTGCCAAAACTGAGGAAGAGATTGGATGAAGTAAAGAAGCTTTAAACAGAATGACTTAATTTAAAGGAGGAAAGGCGATTGCGGGCAAGAGATTATATTGGCACAGCATTAAATCGCTAACTTAATGATTACTACACCTGTTATGTCAAGAAGTCAATTTGACACATAAGATGATGTAGGCAGGTTGTATTCCATCATATGAGAACAGACTCGCCGAGATACGCGAGCTATTGTTTCTCATAGTAATTCATTGTAATTCATTGTTATTTCATCCGTATTCGCATTGTAGCCAATAGATTGTTTGACGCTATGTAGTTTTCATTGGTAATATTCCAGGAGAAATAAAAATAAAAACTGTTTTTAGGAAACACTGTTTGATGATCTATAAAGATGTGTAAATTTGTATGTATTCATGTGCAAATATTCAAGGCCAAAAAGACAATAAAGGAATTGTTGATGCCTTATGTCGTTTTTATCTTACTCTTTCCAATGCGAATATTTTCTTGAAATGAGCATAAACGCAATTATTGTTAGCGGCACATTTTCGTTTCCTCCGTAAATGCTTACGGGCTGTGTGGGATTATGCGTATTTCTAGTAACCGATATTGTGCCATAGATGTTATATATTTGCATATTCTGGTGCACTCCTGCGCCAGCCACCTAGCCCACTCCAACCCAATCACACCACCCCATTTATTGAAAAGAGTTCTCAGACTCCACTGAGCTGTATCATACATAAATGATGACGCACCCTTGCTATATACAATCTCCGACGTGGGTTTCATATGGCTCTCATATGTACTTAATTACGTCTATCTATTCTGTTTGCGCCGCGCTTTTTACGATCTATTACCTGTACTCGCCCCGCAAGATTTTGAAAATATAAATATAAGAGTCTACATAGTATTGAAAGTTTTAGACATTATTAACCTTTATTTATTTATTTATTTAAAGACGCGTTACACTGAAAAACGTATATATCACAACCTGAGCTTGCAAGCTCTCCTGTCAGTGAAATAATACAATGCTCTCGCTCGCGAGGCCGCGAGCTTTAGGGGGTACCCTATGGATAGTGTTACGTTTATCCCATATAATTAAATTCACCACCATTTGCGGTGGTGGGATACTTAATACATTGATTGCGCAATTCCAAGCGGGTAAACAA